TAGATAGGTTCAGGCATATTAAGACTCTAGTAAAGGTTCAGCTGGTGAGGAAGGGTTCAGGCTTTCCTTCGTGGTGTGTCTACTGATGTCCTTTGTGCTCAAGAGACTTCAGAAGTACTGAAGTCACAGGGCAGTGGTTTCAGCATCTGAGAGGAGCAGTGTAAGTTGTAGTAAGAGCTGACATAGACTAATATGATGCTGAAAGGTAACTATGAGGGTGCATAGTTGGGCTCTGTTCATAGTTGGAGAAGTTTGCTGACATCCAGGAGCACAGCCCTCATGGAAAGGGGGTGTAAAGCATCATAGGGTGCTGTTGCTTTTCTGCTTTATCTCATCCAGCACATGTTTTGTCTCAGACTGTTGGAAAGGATGAACCATGGCTTACTTATGAGTGTTTACTTTCCATATAATACTTAATGTGGGGAAATCTAAATCTACAAGGGTTGATTTTAATTTCCTCCAAAAAGTTGCTCCTGGCAGAATCTGATAAAGCCATTTTTGGTCTTAATTCTTCCCAGCCCCCAGCCCTGCTGTTGGTGAGCTATCGGAGCATACCTATCTTTGGGAATTCATTTGGTGATCACCACAGCTTGCATTTATTATCTCAAATACCTCCCAAATCGTCGGCTGATGCGAGGTGGGCCTGAAAAGTGGTCTGACAGCATTTTCTGAAACTTTTTACTTCTGGGGGAGAGTGTTCCCAGGTTCTTGCTGGGGATATGCCTTTCTGCCCTGTATTGATCTTCCCTTGAATGCACAGCTTAAAAGAAGCAGAGTCATTCCATTTCTTCTTGGTTGCTCTGTGCTGCCTCTTTCTTCTCACAAAGATTTGCTCATTTGTGCCCAGGGCTGTGGAGTCCTTTTGGTGCTGGACTGACCTCGTTCCCAGCCCTCAGCCTGGCAGCAGCACAGCCATAGCATGGGCTCCCAGTGCAGAAGAGCAGGTCATGGTCTCTGGCAAGAGGCTCAGAAACTGGCCCCAACCAGCCTGAAATTCTGTACAAATTTTTAAGAGCTTTTGGGTTACATACTCTGTTTTTTTTCCTGCTACAAGCCCAGTGAATCAAATAGCAGCCTTTCTATTTTAGAGAGGTCTTAATGAACAAGATATACCCTCATCTTCCAAACAATCAGAGTAGGAAATGCAGCAAGGGTTGTTTTAAAGCAATTTGCACGTACTTGGTAAAACAGAATAAGCGTCGTCAAAAACAGAATAAGCGTCGTCATTCCTGAACTCTGAAACAGAAAACAAATTTTTTTGTGGAAACAAAAACACAAGCTTTTCTGTGTGCTGGAGCAGAGCAAGGCATTGCAGGAGACATTTAGCATCATGTTCTGACCTTTATGGAAACAGTTGATATGGAAATATTCTTGTCATATTTATTTAAACTATTTTCTTTCATTTATTTAAACTAGGCAGTATACTTATTTGAAAAACTTAGCAGCATGCCAATCTCTAGTTCTTGGCATGTTAACAACACTAACCATGCAATAAATATAAACCCCTCAAATCTGTGCTGAATGCTTTGATCCTAATGCTCTTAGGGAAGTCCTTTTGTTTTTGTTCTCTACAGAAAGTACCAGGTGTGACTGTGGTGGGTTTAGGAGATAGTAAAGATAATAACCAGAGGAAGGTCTGGTAGAGTTTTAGTGTGATGGCTATAGTTGATTTTTTGAAATAGTATTTCCCTATTACTTTATGTGCCACAAACATTTTGGTGGATTTTTAATAGAAACACCACAATGTGTTGTTTTCACACCCTCCTCCATGCCTGGCTGCCCTCCCAGGTTCTCCCAGGGGTGCTATTTGCTCTTGTGCCTCAATCACGGGCTGCAAACAGCCTTTCAGAGCAACATTTTCCCACACGAGTGGAGGAAGAGGTGGGTGACCACGGGTGTACCCAAGTGGACATGATCCTTGACTCTAGGAGGCTGCTTAGTAAAAAAAAAAAATCAATACAGTACCTGGCTACACCTTCAGAGCTGCATCAGAGGTGCTTAAAGCCAGTAGAAGTTTTTCTGTTGTCTGCAAAGAGCCTTGGATGAGGCTGGTATTCCACCTGTCTATCCCCGGCACTTGGAAGCATTTTCTATAGGGGTGAGGGAAAGGAATCAAGAAAAAAAAGAGAAATATGAAGGGAGTGGTTTTGTCTGTTCTAGTCAAATGTTTAAGGAAAGCACGATCCAAGCTTACCTCACTATGGCATTGCTATTGATGGGTACCTTAAGCAGCAGCAGCATTTGCAGCGATGAAGAGTCCTGATAATGAAATGAAAAGTTCCTCCAGGGTCTCAAATAGATGAGACTAATGGTGGTAGCTAGGTGTAGCACTTCTCTGATTCATATGGCACTGAGATGAAGCCCACTATTAAATTATTCTTCGCATGTGGCTCACATATGCTTCATATCTGTGTGCTAGATAAAAGCTGAAAATACCTGAGACGAATTAGATGGCAGTTATGAAGTAGACTCTTTGCAAAGGAATTTTTAGTCTCTGATACTTGTTACATTAGATTATCCAACCTTTCTTTTCTGTCAGTGCAAATGAGATCATAACTCAAATGTGCATGAAAGCAAACGGGTGGTTTAGATCTGAAAATGCACAGCTGCCTAACTTTGATTTATATTAAAGGCAGACATAGAAATGATTAATTCCAGCATCTTGGGAATTACATTTAAGTATTAACAAAATTAGGCAAATTATGCCTCAACCTCTGAGTGCACCAAGGTGTTCATGCAGACTTGTTGTTTGATCATGGGATCACAAGATAAATGTCAGAATCAGGCTCTGTGCCACAGTTAAACATTTTGTAGATGGGGAATAATAATTTTGGAAATGACTAGCATCATATTATTTGTGATATCAAATATTTATCAACCAGCTTCAGATCCCCAGAGATGTGCTTGCATTGTTGCACAATGTGGTTAGTCTTCCTTTAGGATAAGTAGTGGATCCAATGTATTCTTTAACCTGAGGAATGCTCTGGGCTGTACCAGGTCAGGATGTGGGGCAAGACAGAATCCTGATGAAGGCTGTAAATTTACTGTTTAGCATTGGTTGTCACAGTAAAGTGGCATCAACCTGCAAGGAGAGCACTAACAGAGGAGCACTTGAATTTTTTCCTAAGTGTCAGTGTTGGTGTTTAGACCAAAGACAGTAAATGGATGAAAGTATTAGAAGTTTACAACTGGGTTTGGTAAGATTTGACATTTCCTTCTTACTGACATTCATTGCCTGGGAAGAGAATGAAAAAATGAACTTCAGATGAAATGTAAAGGCTTATAAAAATTTAGCTCATTAGCTCAGTCTTTTTTTCTGTTGATGCTAAAGAAAAAAAAGGGAAGTTTATGGATATGGGTAACTCATGAAAGTTTTATTTTATTACAAGGGACAGCATTTCCTCTATTTCTCAGTGCAAGATTGAATGTTGCTCGTTGGATTTTTTTGGCCTATCCTGAAATTGGATCTGGGCTCAGGAGAACTCAGAGTCAGCCATCCCTGCCTCTCAGAGGAGCACCATTAATGGCTCTTAAACCCTGCTGATCACAAGGGACCTCAGCCATCTTTCCTTGATCTGTAACGCTCTGGCAGCAGGGAAACAACCTTTTTCAGGGCGTCATTTGTACAAGCTTTTAAGCAGCAATGTCTGATTTTAGGAGTTATATCCATTTCTCTCCACGCTGGTCTGACCTTTTCCATTTAGGAGCAAGTTACTGCTCTTGCTGGTTCTTTGTGGGCTGAATGAGTTGTAAGTAGGGCTGTAATATAAAATATTCACAGGTGTCATTGTATATGCCAATTTCTATTCTAGTGGATCTTCCAGAGCTGCTACATATATAAATATTTTAGGTTTCAAATGTATTCATAGGCTGGGAAGAGCTTGAGCTGTAATATATTTCTTGGAAAATATGCTGATGGAGTGGTTCCAAAATGAAGGTAGAAGCCTCATTTCTGTGTGTTCCCTCCATTTTGAAAAGAAAACAGAACATTTTCTCTGGAGAGATGGTTAAAACAGTGTGTTTGCACTCAAGGATTAAACCAGTATGCTTATGACATAGCATGTAATGAAGAAATTGAAGTTGAGTCTCTGGGTGCATCATGCTGAGTAAGAAGCTTGTTCTACACGAAACTGTCATATTAAATTCTTGTCGTGATTCCAGACCCCTTTGATTCCTAAATCTTTTGGAGGAGACTAATCTGAAATCAAAGTGAAGTTGCTTGGGGTTTGCATGCCAGAAGTGGTCACATTTGAAAAAGTTCAGTGAACCTGCAGAGGGAGGTTGAAATTAGTTGCTTCACTACAAAGCTTACAGCTAACATACCTGCTGGTTTGCTTTTTGCTTTGATTCTCCAGGCTCTGCCTTCTTGCCACCTTCCGAGTTGTTTTCAAAATGCATAAATCTTAAGGATGAGCATGTCCTGGTTTCGGTCTATTTAGTGAAAAGTAAAAAAAAAAGTCAGTCTACAGTGGTAAAACAAACACAAGCTTTAGTACCAAGGACATGGAAAGGCTGCCCTTTTCTCTTCTGCCTTGTCTTTTGTGCAGTTATTTCCCTCTGTGAAGGTGCAGTATCACACTTTAGCCTCCCGATTTACCAACATTTGACATCCCTTTGTACCAAGGTAAATGGAAATGGTTCCTTTCAAGTTCTTCTAAGTAGATACTGAGGGCTCCTGCCTTGATCCCTGTAAGATGACTCTGCTCCTTTGAAACCACTGGAGCAATGCCAGGAATCCAGCCTGTTAGCCCTGCTGAATGTCAGCTGCTTTCTCTTGTTTTGATATTGGCATTTTTGGGGGCTCTGACCAAGAATACCATGGAATATTAAGTGTAATTGGTAGCATTTCCAGTGGTTAAATGCTGCCCTTCTGTACCCACCTCAAGGTTTTGTGTAGGCTGCCTGGGACCTGGGAAAGTGCCCTGTATAACCATGGCCCCTGTATGACTGTGTAGACAGCCCTGTGTGAAAGCTGATCTGTTGTTACTTTATATTTACAGTGTTCTGTCTCCTGTGGAAGGGGCCAAAAGCACCGCAGTGTGTACTGTTTGTCAAAGGAAGGGAGACATGTAGAAGAAGAGTATTGCAAACACCTTGCTAAGCCAAACGTGCAAAAGAAATGCAGAGGGGGCAGATGTCCGAAGTGGAAAGCAGGAGATTGGGGACAGGTGAGACACATTGTGTACCCTTTTGCACCCTTTGATATTCTTCCTCCCTCAAATTGGTTAGAACTTGGTCTTCTGATCACTTCTGTCCTCTTGAATTATTAAAGGATAAAAGTTTTTGGCCAGATCCTGGCATAAAATAGTGCAGCTTCATGGACAGCAATGGAGTAGCACTGATTTGTACCAGCTGAAAACATGGAAATTTGCTTTTGGTGTCTATCTGAAAGTAAATTCCTTATTGTATATTATAAGTTTCTGCTAGAAACATCATTAGTATATAATATGAAAGAGAATCTACTATTTATTCATGTTTTTAATATCATTATGTAAATATCACATCTCAAGCAAAATCTTCCTTAGTTTTGAGAAATCTGAAACTCATTTATTATCAGCTTCCTGAGGAAGCTTAAAGAATAATCAGAGCTGTTCATTAAAACTGCTTTTCACTCCCTTTGTTTCTTAACAAACTCATCACTTGATTTTCCTCATTAAAAAGTCAGACAGTGATGTATAGAGCAGAGTCTGCTGGAAATGAGAAAGTGCTTGGAGTTATTAAGCATCTTGCTTGCTGAAAGCATACCTTGAGTCCTTGTTTTCCTGAAAATAATGTCTTTGTCATCACCTTGAATCTGCTGCATCACATTTTTATCTCTGAGCCTTGCTTTTCCCTCTACCTCATTAGTGTGCTAATCAGCGGAATTATTGAAAATCCCAGACTAAATGAACTGTTAACTTGTAAAACATCGTGTTCCCTTGCACTCTGTCTTCCAAATTAAGGTAGAAAACACCAGTTTTTGATATATGCAAGTTCCCTGAAAGACAAACCATTAACATTGCTAACAGACACACATGCAAATGTTAGGGCTGAGACAGCGTGCTGTTGTTTAATGTACACTACTAAAAAAGACAATAAACCCATTGAAGATCTTGATTGTTTTCAGACTCTTATTTTTTTTTCTCACGCTTACCTTTGAATTCATAGGATAAGAGTTATTTGTTGTTAAATGCATGAAGCGCTAAGTGTTCATTCAGAATGGAGGTTCAGTTACTGAGGTCTGGGCTCTTTACCTGAGGAATGGCTGGGAGCATCCAGCCTGTGAAATCCACAGTGCTGCTTCCATATTGGAAATTAAGTCAATATTATTGCCGTTATTACCTTCAGGACTGAAACCTTAATTTTATACAGGAGCTGGACTGAAATGAAAGGAAATTAGATAGTCTTGTCACATCTGATTTGCACCTTATTTAAAGTGACTGCTCCTGAAAGCAGTTTTTTACAGCTAATAATTGTAAACATAATAATGTGATGATCTGTCGATTGCATTAAAATACACTAATATTAATTGATAAAAGTGTTCTAAAATTCCCAGCATTCCACTGCATGATGGTAGTTAATTTATGCAAGTGGAGAAAGAAACTCAAGTTAATAGGAGAAGGTGATTTATGGCCTGAGGTAATCTCTCATGACTTGGCAATTAAGGAATATTTGTATGGTAACGATAAGGCTAAGAATAGGCATTTCCAGGAGTAGCTCCTCAGCCCAGTCCCTGATGCTGGATGTGCTCAGCCAGCCAGGACCTTGCTTGGGGAAAAAATTAAGGGATAGAAATACTTATTCTACAATATCAAACTGGGCTTTTTAAAGCCACATGAAATGCTATGACACGGATCTCTGAACCTCACTGGTGCTGGCAGCGTTTCTTTGTCTGTGACAGATGAAGAGTTGGGGCTGTCATAGGTTTGGAGCACTGGCTGTGGGTCCCTGGCTATTGCAGGGCTTTGCCAAAGATTTAATGCTTTAGACCTGAGCTGGATTTAGGTGCTGAATTTCTCATTAAGACCATGAAACCGACGGGGGTTTGGCACTCTGAATATCCAGGAAATCAGGGTATAAATGGGCAAAGAAACTCTTTGTCACCTTCCCTGTCACCAGTACCACTGTTGCAAATAGGAGCCGTGATCAGTTTGCACTCAGATACTATCAAAAAATATAAAGCTTTCTGAAGGTCTAATTGCCTCAGAAAGATAATCCCAAAGCTGAGCTGCTGTGAGCTGGCTGCCTTTTCTCCTCGGTAAATCAGAAAAGTCTGCATGAGAACCAAGCCAAGGTTTTCCCATAAAAATGCATCTTTGTGTTGCCATATATGCACAGGACTTGTTGCATTATACCTTTAGGGTCTTTTTTTCTTTTCCTTTTGGGAAAAGGAATTATTCAGAAAATCAGGATTAAAAAATACAGGAAGGGTTAAAAATTAATCCCAGTCGGACACTGGCTATGCTGATGCTCCGCTCCCGGATTTTTTTCTCTTTGGATGTTTTATATTCAGTGGGTGGTAAATTCTTTTCTAGATTGTTATGAACTCACCTCCCTGCAGCAAAGCATTTTTAATATACCTGTAATAATCAGAAGGGAAGGAAAAAGGCTTTTTCTCCAAGTTTTAAATGTGCCTGTGTCTGCACTGAAATGTCAGATTTAATGTGTTTGCTTCTCCTAAGTGATATCAATTATGGCCATTTACCTTTCACTTAGCAAAAATACCAATATTTATTCTGCTCTCTGGTATTTATGTATTTCAGTTACAGGCTGAAATTCAGCCTTGTTTAAAAACACGGATAGAACATCAGGTAATGATTCTGGCACAGCACAGGGACCATCCTCCCTCTCTCCAAACCCGGGTGTCACACACAGCACAGGCCACAGTAAAAGAGCCACAGTGTCACTTGTGCTCCTCTATACTAGCATACCCGGGCATGTGCTTTTTAGGTTGATGATAAATGCAAACCAAAAGGCATTTTAGAGCATGGTAGGCACCCTGGTGTATACGTTTCTCCAAGTTTGTGGCCATTATTCAGTTTACTGTCCCCTATGGAATGCATAGGACAAACAGCACTGTTAATCCCAGGGCAGCATATGGGAAGCGTTTGCATCACCAGTGACAGAAATCCCTGTAGCTTTCAAAAAGCTACACAAGGATACTCCCACTCTCTTAGAAATATCGGAAGCGAGAGGAATAGTCACACTCAGCTTTTCTTTGGTCCTCTTGGCTTTATGGGGCATTAGGATAGTAAAGCAAACAGCATTATGGAGGAACACTCTGCAGAAGAGGGAATTGCTTCCCCATTAGGCACCGATTAATTCCCTGCCTTAAGAAGGCTCGGTTTTATTGGTACTGCAATAACAGACTGTGAACTTGTTTTCTTAGTTCCTGATATATTAATAAGATTGCTTATATTAGCTTTTAATTCAGCTGTGTTTTAAATATGTACCTTTGATTTTTATATGCTTTCTTCTATAAATGCAAATTCTCTTTATTTCAAATCTACACAGTATACTGCTCTAGCCAGAAAGAATCTATATCAGAGGGATGTTAAGTACTGCTAAACATATTAGTGAGCAGTCACAACACTAAGAAATGTTGCGTGAAAGAAAAAATAAGCTGTTAAAAGCATTGTAGTATAGATAATAATTTGAGGATGTCTGAGAATCAGGGTAATTCAGGCATTTCTTGCTGTGCCTGGAAGTTCGGAGTTGAGAAAAACTCCACAGTGTAATGGAGGAAATATGAAATGCAGTTAATTTCAAAAAGACATTTATTTTCACAAACTAACATTATTCCCTGCCTTGTGTGCAAGTGCATGTTTAGATGCTTGCTGAAAGAAATCCCAGCTGTATCACACCTTTCCCCCTCTACTGCTACAGACTTTCTTCTATACAATCCAAATTTGCTTTCCATTAAAGTCCACTCTGTTTGTGGCATTTGATGTATTTTGAACTATTACTTTTTTGAGTGAGCGCCTGAGCCGCCTCTGGCGTGTCGTGATGGTTTAGCAGTGCCACTGTCTCCAGAGGATTTTGCAATAAAAATCCTGGCCGGGGAAGTCCTGACCCCAGTGAAGCCAGTGGCAAAAAATTCCCGCTGGCTTCAGCGGAGCAGGGATTTCAGCCTGTCTGCAATAATTTCCCCTTTGTGCAATGAAAAGCCTCACCTGGAAGTTTCACAGAGCATCGCTGCTGTCGAGCCCAGAGCAGAGGGTGAACCCCACGAACTTACCGTGACGGTAAGTCGATGGGCACCGACACTCACCTTCTGTCCTTTCCTCCAGTGCTCCGTGTCCTGTGGCCGGGGTGTCCAGCGCCGCGCCGTGCACTGCCACAGCGGCGCCCCGAAGGCAGCCGAGGATGCCGAGTGTGACCCGGCCAGCCGTCCCCCTCCGCAGCGGGACTGTCACCTCCCCGAGTGCCCCACGCACCGCTGGGCAGCCGGCGAATGGCAGCCGGTAAGCGGGGACCCCCCTTCACCCATCCCCGGGGTCACGGCACTTGTGCTCTCAAGCGCGGGATGATGCTGGAGACGGGGTGGAGGCCGAGGATTGCTGCTGGAGGGTCGGGGTTTTGGGGGGGTGCAAGCAGGGCTTGCCAAAACAGAAAAAGAGCAGAGGGAATGCTCATGCGTGCTAGCTGAAAGGGGGAGAGGAGAAATACCTCAGTAGGGTTAATTTATTGCTTCGTGCTGCCCTGTGTTTGGCTGGGACCTATGCAAATATTGAGCAGGTTTTGGGTAGGGCGGATTTGGGTCTGTTCCCGGAGGCAGAGCCCTGCCGTGCTGCTGCAGCTTGAGTTTTGTGCTTGTGGGCTTGAAGGAATCAGGGAACAGTGGTAATTCCCATTTTCCTGCACCATCACCCCATCTTCTTTGATGTCCCTCTCCTTTCACTGAGCTCCCCGTCCCTGCTCTTTTGTCAAACCATGAGCAGTGCCGAGATGGGGTCTCCCAAGGAACACGGTGCTTTTCTGAGCGACTAGGATCAGTCCCCAGCAAAAACAACCCTTTAGGCTGGATCAGGGGATAAAGCTGCTGCTCCAGTGGTTCAGGGAGTGACTACAACTCTCCTGCATTGTGGGCAATGGGGGGGCCCGAGGCTGAGGGGTGGTAGGAGAATGAGGGGACTCTGAGCAGGAGGAGCCTTCCCATGCGCTGCCGAGAGGGTGCTGTGTCAGCCTTCAAGTGCACAACAGGTTTTGGCTGAGAGAGTTCAGACCAGGTACCAAAGTTATTCTTTGCATTCTGCTTTTGTTCCATTTTTAGACAAACCTGGGTAAGAGTCCTGCCCCAGTTCTCTTCCATCCCTGTCCCACTGTCCCAGGCTCTTCCCTGCGGTGCAGAGTCTGCCAGCCTTGGAAATGGGAAAGGCAGCTCTGGGGAGCTGACTCCTGTGTCACACAGGAGGGGCCACCACTACTAGGGAGAGGGTGTCCTCATCACACAGGGAGAAAGGGATTGCCCATCATGGGCCCTCCAGGATGCAGGGGGTGGAGGGGGCAGAAGACACCCTCACCCAGGTTAGTCAGCCTCTCTGCAAAACTATTGCTGGCTCCAGTGGCAGAGCAGCCCGAGCTCAACCCTTCACCCTTGGAACAGCAAAGGTCTCACTGACTTTGGAGGTGGATGATCAGAGCCTGATCCTGGCCACCTGGAATCCTGCAGTGCACAACTTCAGGGAGCAGGAAAAATATTAATCAAACAGGGACCCAGCGTTCCTTGGCAGTCAGGGGGCTTTTATAGTGCTCCTGCATGGCCCAGAGAGGTCTTGAAGGGGGATAAAATTGGTCCAGGTCCCTTTGCTGTCGAGACAGTGTAAAGAGGCCACGGTGTGAAGGAAAGCAGGGCCTCCTGCTCCGGTAACAAAAAGATGGAGAGGAGCCACCAGCTTCCTGCTCAGAGCTTTGGTGTTTGCAGATACTTCCAGAGCCTTTATGGTGTCAATAAAAAAAAGAAAGAAAGAAAAAAAAAAGAAAAAAGGCAAGACTTTAGAAAAAGCAAATTTGATGAGAGAAAAAGCAGCTCACGCATGCAGAGGCTGTGCAACTTTTCCTCTACAGCAAGAAAAAATTCCAGGTTAAGGCAGTGTTTGCTTTCCTCTCATCTCTCCTTCCTCACAGGCTTCAAGTTTAGCTTCATTTCCCCAGTCTCAGTAGTGCTGGGAAGCTGGTTTTATAATCCTGTGTAACCTGGCCACAAGTACAGGAGGCCAGAGGGGACTGTGCCCTTTCCCAGCTGCCGGGTAGCCAAGGTGAGATGGGAAGCAGCAGGAGGCAAAGCCGAGCTGGCCATGCAGTGGTACCTGATGGAAACATCCCAGCCTGAAAAAGAAATGTAGGAATGGCTGAGGGGGCTCCAGCAAATTCCTTGCAATGAACTTTTGGATTTACAGAGCCCATTAATTTCTTCAGCTAATAAATTTACAGTCAGCAAAGTAGGTCACCAAACAGCATGCAGTGCTAGTCCTTACCTAGTGGTGCAATTAGTCCTGAAAAGCTAGAGCTCCTGCCCCATCCTTTCATAGAATCATAGAATCATTAAGGTTTGAAAAGACCTCCAAGATCATCAAGTCCGACTTTCAACCAAATTTTGCCCTCTCTCCCTTATTTTTGCAACTTTTCAAACCAGTGGTGAGAGGCCTCTGTCTGCTTCCACCCTACCAAGCCCTTGGTGAGAGGTGAATGCTGATGTTTTCCTACGTTTTCCAGGGCTCCCCCAGTTGCACTGGGGAAATTTTTAACATATTATAGAGATACTTTTTTTCCCCAGAAAAGCTTTATTAGGGGGATGGGCCGAAAGTTTCCTCACCCATAGGTAACCATTAATCGGAGAACACCAGAGATGCCCAATGTGAGCTCGCCCCTTTGGCTGACTCCAGGCAGTTCTTCTTTCAAGCTCTTCTCATTTTGTTCTGATGTACCCAGTGAAAAAAAGAAATAGCCCCTTCTCCCCAGCCTTTAAGTACTGTCTGTGTGTTATTTACAGTGAGGAGGCACAGATTGCATTAGTATTCTCTGAGCAGGGAGCAGCAATGAAATCCCTAATTGACATGAAAGCCAGGATGTAAAATAACATCCCAGCGCTGTCTTGTTCTTGATTTCTTATCTTTAAAGGCAGTCTGTCAAGAGGTTTGGGTTTTTTTTTATTGTTCTTTTTTGTTGTTGTTTAGAAAAAAGTTGGTCTTGCCAATGTGAAGGAATAGGGAACTTATTGGAAAGCCTTTACTGCTCTGTTGGTATATCACCATTAATTACCTGTTCTCAGTGCCCACACCGGGGAGAAGAAAGTCAATAGAAAGAGCCTTGCTGATGTCAAAGTGAAACTCAGACCAGAGTCATGAAGGAAAAGAGAAAATTGGGAGAGAGAAGGGTTTTTTCTTTGATATGAGCGTCTGTGGAAGGACAATGCATGGTTCTCGAAGCTGCAATGCAATTCTTGAATCTTTGACATTTGCCATTTGGGGTGAAATTATGCCATCCTTGCCTGATTTGAATTGCAGAGTTACCCAAGGCATGTTCCAAGTGTTCATGGCATGGGGAGTTCATTTCTTCTCTGTGTCAGATGGTGATTTAAAAAAAAAAAAAGAAGAAAACAATGAATGCTTTTGCAAAGCAATGCCTTTGGGGTTATTTTAATTATTGTTATTACTCTTCTAAAACAGTTGCAGAAGTGCTTGAAATGGTCCTTAATTTGAACTGCCAGGAAAATAGTTCAGAATTTGGGAAATGAGACGCAAGAGACAAATATTGTCAAATGCCTGACCTGTTTTTCAGCTTTTGCTATCAATAGCTGTTATACCCTGACCCCACTGTTTTTATGTGAGATTTAAATCAGTCTTGAACATGAGATTTCATACAAAATCTATCACTGTATTGAAAGGAATAATAGCCTTTCCATGCTATCTGGACTGTCCGCTTTCTACATGAATAATGTTTTATAACCTTGTGGGGGCTGATTGGAACCTCTGCAGTGTTTCTCTTTGATTTAGTTTATGACAGCCTCACTGTCTTTGAGCCACATTTAATAGGGATTATTTTAGTTGCCGGTTACCCCTAAAAAATACAAATAATCAAACTTTAATTTACTGATTATGACAAAATGCACAGAGCTGGCTCAGGTTTATTTGGCCATACAGCTGTTATTTGCAGAGAAACCCAAAGCAGGCTGGCACGTGCTTGAGAGTGTCAATCTCCCATCAGCAAGTAATGACTTTAAACGAGGAGAGGATGGGCTTTTGGTGTGCTGTAAACAAGGATGGGCTTTTGATGTGATAGCTCTTCACCAAAGTCAGAAAATGCGTTGATGGCATAGAGATTGTTCACCCTCTTAAAATTAAGCCTGAGCAAATGAACTTTGCAAATTTAGGCTTAAGTATACCTTAAGGGGAGGAGACAAAATCAGCCTTTCTTCCCACTCCTTGCAAGGTACCTCCTGTGGCCACCAGCAGCCGAGGGCTGGAACCATTCACCCCGTGCTGGTGACCCCTTACTAGGCTGGTAAATGCAAACCAAAGACAAGGGGAGCTTTGAGCATCCCATGGCCCCACTCCCACTGTGCTAGAGAGTCCCTCATTAGGGGAGAGCAGGAAGGTCGGGGTTCAGGCTGCCCCAAAAGGTGCCTGGTGCTCAGGGAAGCTGCACCTTCCAGATGGAGCACGAGTGATGCCACATGCACATGCAATGCCCCCCTTTCAGTTTTTACTTATGTAATAGGGAGATAATCAGAGATGGGCAGATATAGCACAGTTTGTTTGCTTTCTGGGGAAATCACACTCCAGCAAATTCCTCCACCCCCTGTAGGATCGCCATGTTTCAGCAAAGACCTAAAAGGAGCTTCCACTCCAAGGACTCAAAGCAAGAGAGTAAATAAGGTTGAAAGCACACAGAGCCCTTGGGGTCTTTTGGCAGACTGTGGATTTTGCAATGTTGACTGTTGCCTAAGAGCTCCTAAGTTATTCTTTTGGAATAAATGCTGCTTTGTGGGCCTCCCTTTCCTTCCCCATCACTCTCCACTTTGCCCCAGTACTAAGTATTTACACCCAACATGACGTTGCACTCACTGCGACTCTCCTGGTTTGCTGCTCCTGCCATGGACTGATCTGATTTTTCGGAGTTCTCACATAATTTACAATCTTGGTTCTGACAGCTAATTACAGAAATAGGGCCCCGACAGTGCCTGCATTTTGCAATTAGCTGAACCCACTAAGATCTCGCTAATTGTGGGCCAGCCAGGGGAGCAGGAGCTGCTTCAGGGAGGTTGGAAACGATGTTTGGAGGGTGAGACCCTAAATAGATTAAACTGGCACAGTCCTCCAAGCCTAGGTGACTTCAAACAGGGCTTCTGTACAAATAGGGATGGTCTGATTGAATGTTTTATCCTTTTCCTTGGGGGAAGACATTTCCTACATGTTGTATAAAATTATTATTTTCATGCATTTTTCTCCTTGTTAATCCAGTTAGTTGAAAGTGTTAGAAGTCTATTACAGGCAATAACTTTAATATAAAGGGTTTTATCCAGACAGCTGCTCCTACGCTGATTTATTTTGCTTTATGTGTATTTTTTCTAAGATGCTCTCCAAGCACAGCCTCACAGTCGGGCTGGCCTTTCCAAGATGAGAAAGAACTGAGTCCTTAAAGTCTCCAGAAGTCCCTGGGGAGCAGTTGTGCTCAGCTGGCATGGGTTGCTCTTAATATCAGGCAGGGCAATGTTTAAAAGAGAATAAACCCACAGGGCTGCCTCCAGTGCAGTGGCTGCAGAGTTGTGTTCAAGGCCAGGCTGGAAGAAGCTCTGAGCAACCTAGTCTAGTGGAAGGTGTCCCTGCTCATGGCAGAGGGTTGGAACTTTAAGGTGTCTTCCAATCCAAAAGATTCCATGATGATTCTATGGGCCCCCACTCCATGCCAGGGCAGGGCGTTGCTGCTCACCTGCTGATGGGGACTGGGGAAGGGGTCCCCAACACCAGCCACTGCCAAAGGTGTAGCAGTGTGTTTTTTGGAAGGGGGATGGTTGAGTTGTCATTCTTCAAACAGTTGTATTTACTAGAGGCTGAAATGATGGGGGTTGGCCCCTCTCTTGTCCCCTTGCCCCATCTCCTGGCCCAGCATGCCCGTTCCTGCATCTCTTGGTCCCATCACAGCTGGACCCTATATCTGCCCCTTCCCAATACCTCCTACCTCAGTTTCTTCTCTCTCCCTACATCTTTGATTTGGGTTAGTACCTCCAGAAGTCAGGAACAGTTTGTCACTGGATGTTCCCACAGCACCTGGCACAGGAGGGCCCTGGTCGAAAATTTGCCCCCAAGTGATACCAATGGCAGATGCCAACATGAGGCACAGAGACACCACTTAGGCAGGCTGCTGGGAAGAGGGATCCCTCCAGATGGCTGTTCATTTTCTGAAGTCTCTCATGGGTTGCATGAGCCACTGTTTCTTGCACACAGTGCATGAAGACGTGCGGGGAGACGTCCCGGTACCGCAAGGTGGTCTGTGTGGATGAGAACAACAAGCAGCTGCAGGACAGCGGCTACTGCGACACCAGCAAACGCCCCCCCGAAATCGAGAGCTGTGGGCTGCCACCCTGTGAATACATCTGGATCACGGGGGAGTGGTCAGAGGTAAGTCCCCATCCCTGTCCATGCACAGGGACTGTGCCACTCGGCACTGGGCCGTACTCTCCTTCTCTCAGTGCTGCCCTTGCTGAGGTATTGCAACCCAAATCAACACTGGCAGGGCAGTGCTTCGTGCTTTAATTATTATTTTTGGGGCTGTTTCTCTGTGCAATCGCCCTGTTGGAGAGAAAGGAACAAGGCTGTGGGAGATGACCAGGATATTAAAGACAAAGCAGCATGCTCAGGATCCTAGCTAATATCTGGAGGCAATTTCCTTCCAAAGCACATCGTGTTCGGCAGGCACCCTCTTTGGTTTTTTGCTGGTTTATTTCATTCATTCATTTATTTATGTGGTTTTATTGCCATCCCCTCCTGGACGGCTCCAGGGCCCCGTGGGCTGTGCAAGGGTCCAGGCGAGCATCACGGGGGAAAGGCAAGCCTGGATGTGACCATGGGGACACATCCTTCCTCAGTGCTGTCTTTGGCAGGAGCAAGGACCCAGAGTGAGCAAAGGCAGGAGATTCACCCTCGCAGCTGGGAGAGGGCTCGGCAAGGAAAATAGATGAGTTTTCCTTGCGGCAGGCACCGCATGCGGGAGGACCTGGGCTAATCTCAGCCTGTTTCCTCCTGCAGCCAGTGAAGGATTACTTTCAGTTGGAGGAACAGGAGAGGGAAATGACAAGGCAGCTGCTGACACAGCACTGATTAAAAAGAAAGAACAAGAAAAGGGAAAAAAGAAAACATGCCAGGACCGAGGGGGAGGAGAGACAAACCACCCAAGATAGAGCAGGAGGGGAAAACGTGGTGACATGATAATATCTCAGAGCAGCCTGGTCTCCTGAGTGATTTCCTAAGAGAAATATTGAGCTGCCTGTGAGGCTGAAGCCCTGGCTGCCCCTTGCTCAGACACCCTCTACCCACTCCCAGCATCTCTGACCCTCTGGGAGCACTCTGGCCCATGAAAACAGAGAGGTGGGATAGGGCTCTCAGAGCCAGAGCTTGTCTCTCCTCAGCTCCCACTCAGCCTTTTGAGAAAGGCAGAACACTATTTATCTTCTAATTACAAGGAAAAATTTGTCGTTCTTCCAGTTGTGCCAAATACCTGCAATTCAGGGTCAATCTTGACTGTTTTCTATCTCTGTGTATCCCGTGGAAAAAAAACAAACAACAAACCAAACCAACTAAATAATAGAGGCATTTCTGAGTTCCCAAGGATCTTCTGCTCCTTTCTTTGCACTTGGGAAGAAATAACATGTGCCCAGGAGCCAGCCTGGCATAGAGAGTCCTGGAGCACCTGTAGATCCATTCCAGAGAGGAACTGGGTGCTCAAAGACAGTGTCAGGCACCAGCTCACTCGTAGTAGCCACTCACGATACTCATGACTGGCTTAACTGGATAGTAGTGATCCCCTGGAGCAGCTTGCTGTGTTACAAGCTGACAAGCTGTCCTTTCCTCCCCGTTTTGGGTGGCCTTACTGAAGCATGTGGTGCTCACTGGTGTTTCCTCTGTTCACAGTGCTCGGTCACGTGTGGGAAGGGATACAGGCAGCGCCTCGTGTCCTGCAGTGAGATTTACACCGGGAAGGACCACTATGAGTACGGGTACCAGAACATGGTCAACTGTCCTGGCACTCAGCCACCCAACATCCAGCCCTGCTACCTCGGGGAATGCCCTGTCTCGGCATCCTGGCGCGTCGGCAACTGGGGAAGCGTAAGTTTGGAAAACTTCTTTTTTTAACTGAAAAGATTGGAACAAACTGATATTTTTTTTACGTCAGGGACACAGACTGAAGGTTTGGAGGGGGAATGTTTAAAAACTGCATAAATAAATGCACTGAATACTCTGGTGGAGCAGCAGCCTCACTGTGTGTAGGGCTCCATGCTCCAGAGTGAACTCCATCGTATGGGGGAGTCCCAGCAGCTACAAGTAGAGTCGTAATCTCCATGAAAATTTGGATGTAACCAAAATTTGTGGCGGTGTTGATGGTCATGCTGAGTGCTCAGTCGAAGAGGGGGGTCGTTGCAGAAAACAAGGATTTGAAAGTCTTGTGCTGGAAAAATTGATGGATCGCTGGCAACTGCAGTTGATCCCACCCAGCCACATGTATGAACAAGACTTTGGAGCCACCAGTAGGCTAAAACACTGGTTATTTGAGCCTTAAAATTTTTTTTTTCTTTTTTTTTTTTCTCTCCCTCCTTGCAAATACTGGGACAGGGGAGGGGAAAGAATTTGGCCTTTCTGCTAAAGTTATTTGGGTTGAGCCTCTTCTGGGGACTGAACTACAAGATCAAATTTTAGTTAAGGTGATAACATTTCACTTCTTTGGGCTTCTGACATTCTTTGAAATGTGACGTTTCTCCCATAAACTTGATTTATTAACCCAGCTCAGGCATTTGTAGGAATTTGTCAAACCTTTACAAGGCAACGAGGGTAAAGCCAAGCAATATGTAGTGGAAGTTGTCACAGTAACTGGCAAAGCTGTTTGAAACCAAAGTTCCTCCTGCCCCACAGGAAGCTTCAGATCCTCCCTGTGAGTTAGTGCAGAGGATGAGCTGCTGTTTGGTAGCTCTAGTAACTTGTGCAACTTCAGATTGCCCTTGATTTGGGCTGTTTGAGGATGACCCAGTATTTGCACAGATTTATCTATTTTTCCAGTGGGTGAGGGGAGAGAAGATTGAGGCTCCATTTTTTTGGTGCAATTTGGATAGAAAACAACAGCCATGTTTGTTCAGAGGCCCCTGGCAGTGACCCAAGCAATGTCTCAGCCACCAGGAGAGGATTTCTACCATGCAGGCCTTCTGGTGAACATTTCTCTCTTGTATGACCTTCCTAACGTGAAAAATAAACCATTTCACTTGAGCACATGGTTCACTTTAACCAACTGCCTCATCCAGCAAAGCATGCAAATGCTAAGCAAAGTATGATAGTCTTCTTGAAGTAATCAATGATGATGATAATAATGAAGGGATTAATAATCAAAGGGACTACTCATTTGATTAAAATTAAACTTGTGTCTGAACACTTTACAGGATTGGAATCTTTCTCTTAATACAAGGGAAACATCCTGTCTCTGTTCTTCTGGAACCCAGAAACTGTTGAGATAAACCCCAGATCTCTGTCTTGTGTCCTGCAGTGCTCTGTCACCTGTGGAGTTGGGGTCATGCACCGGTCAGTGCAGTGTTTGACGAACGACGACCAGGTCAGCAGCTTGTGCCATGTGGATCTGAAACCTGAGGAGAGGAGGACATGCCACAATGTCCATGACTGTAAGTCTGCAGATTTGCACCTTCCTTTGCCTTTCTCATGGCTTCAGCATCTTTTCCCATCAAACTCCTAGAGATCTGCAGTATTTCCAAGCATTGGGAGCCTTCCAACTAAGCACTAAGGCACACTAGGGAAACCTCTGAAAAATAAACAAGATGTTTTGATGTTTTGGATGCCTCACAGTGTTCCAAAAGAAATTTTGATGTACAGTTGCTCAGTAACTACAAGTATTTCTGTTTTGTTTCAGGTGAACTACCAAGGAGTTGCGAAGATGTTAAAAATCTCAAAGGTGTCACTGAAGATGGTGAATATTTCCTGCAAGTCAAAGGAAAGACGTTAAAGGTGCATTTCAGCAACAGAATGATAGTTAATGTATTTTCCAAAGGTGCAAGGGGACCCTGGATGTGCTCTTCACTTCCACGCTTGGATTTTCTACCTTTGGTTTTCTCAGTGATGCCTTTGCCTTTGTGACAAAATTCTGGCTTCTCTCTCTCAGGTGTATTGCTCTGGGATGCAGACTGACAGCCCAAAGGAGTATGTGACCCTTGTAAATGGAGATGCAGAGAATTTTTCAGAGGTGTATGGTTACAGGTAAGAAATCCTGTAATGGTGAGCTTCACAGTGTTTTTTGTTTTCCATGGCAATATTTCCGGTCATGAGTAGAAAGGGTTTTCTTTTGATTTAGATTGCATAACCCGACCGAGTGTCCGTATAACGGGAGCAGACGAGAAGACTGCCAGTGTAGGAAAGATTACACAGCAGCTGGGTTTTCCACCTTCAGCAAAGTAAGGCTGGACCTGAACACTATGCAAATAATAAGTGAGTAAAAACAGGGCCTTGCCATTAAAAACAAAACGTTTGTTTTACACAAATATAGCTGTAACTACAAGCAAGCAGTAGTGCTCTAGTGAGCAATATTCCTGAGCTTTCCTGTTAAAAGCTGCTTTTAAACTTGGTCACCTGTTTGCTGCTTTACTCTTGGAGACTGCAACTTGAGTACATCAGAGATGCTCGTATTATTTCTCTGTAAAACAGGAAAATATTAAGACAATTGCTGGTACATCTGCTCTGCAGAATGAGTATTTGCATGCACCTGGCAGGCCAGTATATTTTTTGAAGGATTTTATTTCATTTGATCTCCTATTTTCAGACTGGACTCAGACACAAAGCTTAACCAGGGAGGAGCTGCCCCCCCATTTTGCACAGAGGGATGTCAGGAGATCCCAGTGCAGGGAATTCCACCAGGGTGGGGATGCTGCTTTCTATGACCAGGGCAGAGGAGGCTCTTGGCAGAGCCAGACCATGGGGAAATAATTTGTGTTGCTAGTGATGGAGGTGGGGAGATGGATTAGCAGGGGAGAAGAGGGCTGTAGCTGTGCAATATAAGTGATACCCTGTCTCTCTTGTAATTCCTTGGAGCTGGAAGCCACCTCACCACCACAGAGCCTGTAGCATCCCATAGGGTTACAGTTTCAGTCTCCCTGACTCCAGGGATGCTATCAGTTTCCAGCAAATGTTTTAAAAATACAACATATTGTTGGGAGTTCATTCAGTAAATAGCTGAGGGTTTTTTAACAAATCAAAATCCTTCCTTGTAAAACGACTCTTTATCTGATAAGTGGTTTTTATCACTTAATTTTCAAGACCTCCCAGTCTATTAATCTGTAAAAAGCTACTAATAATCTGTAAAAGCTTCTAGGTAAAGATCTGAAAGGAACCACCCTCGGGGAATTTGATACCAGCTCCCTTTGAATTTCAAAAGGATCTGGGCACCTTCCTCTGTCGGGCAGGAGCTATCTCACATCCCCATCTAAATGAGTCTCAGTTACTTCAGATCCTTCCAGAGCAAAATACCCCAATTCCCTTTGAAAACCCGACCCCTGGGCTGGGGCAGCCAGGAGAGCAGAGATGGTTGTTTGCTTTTGTTTAAAAGAGAGATTTAGGAGGTCCTGTAGCCTTCTTGAAAGTGGGGAATTTTCTGATAGAAAAAGAAATCCCAAGTCATAGGTTCGAGTTTTGTTGTTATTTATACCTTGTTCTTAAATCACCAATGGACTTAAACCAAATTGTAAACACTGAGTGTATAAGTTTCCTGTTAAATTCAGTGTTCATGTGCTGGGAGTCACATGTGGGATGAACTGGGAGATTAAATATTAAAGACCTAGTAGTCTTCACTCTCAAGATTAATGTGTGAAACCAGGTTTAGTGAATTTAAACATTGGCAAAGAACACGTTTACATTTATTTTGTCTCTCTCCCTGCATCTTTCTTTCCATGTTATTCACCAACTCTTCTCCACAGCAACTGACTTACAGTTTGCAAGGACACACGATGGACGACCTGTTCCTTATGCCACTGCTGGGGACTGCTACAGTGCTGCCAAATGCCCTCAGGTATTTGACAAGAGGATTTCATAGGAACTGGTGCCATTTGTTATGTTCAGGCCCTCTATTAATTACTGCTGATCACATCAGCCCAGCTTCAGTGTGGGGCACATTCTTATCTCAGTGATCAGAAACTTTTCCCTCTGTGAAGATGGAGAAAGTTCCCTTTGTGAAGATGGAGAAAGTAGTTTCCACTTTCCATATTATCAGGCCAGTGGCTGCCTAAGGGACATTCCCTATGGCCTCAATCAACAGTAAAGGAGAAAAGGAAGAAGAAATAGGCTGTGGGAGAAGAACTGGGCTTTACATGGGAAGTTGAAGGCAGGGGGATCAGTCCATGACAGGGATTGGTGGAAATGCTGGGCAAGGAGAGCAGGAGGGAGTCAGGGAACCTGCCTCTGTGCTCTGCAGTCTTGTACCCACTTAAACCAGTTTGCAGGGGTGCAAGAAGATGGGTGAGACAGCCCCTCTGGATAGAAAGGCAGCAGACAGACAGCAGGACTCCTGCCATGCCAGCTCTGGGAGAGGTGCCTGAGAAGGAGAGGGCATTTGTGGGGCAGGAACAGGTCGGATTTCTGCTGCTGGAAAGACATAGCCCATCTGTCAGAGACCACAGTGGTACCTGCCAGCTGCAGCCCCAGTGTCCCCACACCCTGCTGTTTATTTTGACAGCAGCCTCATGGGACCATCACTGACCCCACTTTGGGGCTGCGAAAACACTGACAAAATGAAGGTGGTGCCTGTGCACCAGGGCAAATCCAGCCTGTCCCAGCACCACAAGTTGCCCACCCATGAAAGCACGGAGTAGGACACAGGCTAAGTTGCCTCCTCAGTAGCTCTGGAAGGTGATGTAGAAGATCTAGCCCAGCTGCTTGGAAAAAATATGCTTT